TGCCCCACAACTCTTTCCCAGCAACCTCACTTCACTTGCTCAAGCTGAAAAAGCAGTAATCGCAATCCTGCTTGCATACTATACAATGTCTATATTTACCTTTACGGTGTATTTCTTGTTTGTTTTGTTCTTGTTATTTACGTTCTTTTATGCTGGCAATGTTTAGGTTGCAAGATGAGCATCCTTATAAGCTTGTAAGCAAGAAATTGCAAATGATGTGTGTATATATGCTATAAACATGTACTAAACTACGCAAACAAACACACATACTCATCTCGTTACATATGCATGTGTTATATTAGTCAATGTATTTGGGTATTGTGGTAGGATCCTTAAGCTCACCGGTTGTCGTTCTATGAAGCTTTTCTATACAATTTATATACGAGTATATACATACGTGTATGTGCATATGTGCGCATGCAATTTCCACTATTATCCTTTGTATATAGGTAGGTACTTAAGTTTTGTTTGGGGAGTGCCTATGTGTGTTGCGTGTGCTGGCTTTACATTAAGGTTAATTTGTGTTCGAAAAGCAACTTCCTTTAATTTTCCTAAAGCATCTTTCTTTGACGGTCTATTTGAAACTACCTTTTACAGTGTATATGTATAAGTATTGGTAAGTGTACTTGTGTGCCAAATTGAATACAAAATATCCTGTAGGCATTGAAGTTATGTGTGAATTCACACCAACAAACATGTGACATTTTAAGGCTGATGCGTACATATGCTCCTCTTACAAAAGCGCATAATTTAAGGAAATATAAAATTATTCCACAACATTGTCTTGTCCTTAGTTTTATACAATATATTTAGCTTTATTTCTTAAAGTTAGGGGCAGATTGCTTGTTAACGTCTTTTTTTTTTTTTTGAAAGTTTGAAGATGAATAGTGAACGAACTTTTGCCTGTTTCAAGATTTTATATAAATAATATCAGTAATAAAAGCAAATTAAAGTCTTTGATCGTCGAAATATCATCCAATTGCGCCGAGTTAAATTTAAAAAGCGAATCTTTGCTCTATGGCAGGTGAGACTAGAGCTTGACAATCGGTCGTATTAGTTGCTATTTTACAGTAAAATAAGATATTTTGGGTTTCAAATACTTAATTTATTTAATTTCATCGCAAAAGATTTAAACACTTTATTTTAAAATTATTACCAGAAGTTTTCAGTTTATTACTGCGGCAGCCTTCTTGAGCATCATCATCCGAGAGCTGTCAAAAGTCAAAATAAAGCGCAAAAATCTTTGATCTATACGGGTTAGGTGGTCAAGAATTTACTCCCAAGGTAAGCCTGTAGTATGAAGCAACTTAAATTCAATAGTTTCCGCGACAATCATCGAAACGACCCGAATTCGTATAAAACAAAGGACTTTCTACTCACACAATATTACAATAATAAGAACAACAATAAATCTGTCAGAAGGTCATCTACTTTATCGACACAGAGCGAAAATTCTGGTTTAAAACTGGTATTTAAAGGTTGAAATTATACTAGTTGGTAGTGAAGGAACATTATGCCGGTTAATTTTTAGAAAATCGTTGCAAGAGAGTAAAACTCTTAGCTTACTGAGAGTGGTTAGCAGTGCTTGCTGTCTTTGGGTAACTCATGAGTTCGTATCCTCATCAAATCAACCTTCAAAATTATAAAAAACTTTTTTATATTTTTTTAATATTTTATTATTAAATATTAAATAAGTCACATAAATAAACAAAAAGTTTTAGTAGAGAGTAGTACAATGTTTCAAAATCTCAAGTCGTGCGCTCAAGATGTGAAATGTGAAATTCCTTTTAAGAAAACTGAATTAAATTTAATTACATTTGAATTTATATATATGTAAATGAGTTTATTGCTTTTTAGCAAGTAATTTAATCCTCTTCAAGGGTAGTTCTGCCCATTCAAGAAGATAGTAAAGGGAAATTGAATTGGATTGAGTAGGTAAAATTTTAATTTCGGCTTTCGCTTTGGGATTTTCATGTAACTGCTTTTTCGGTTATTTAAAAATACATCAGAAAAAAGTAACTAAATTATAGATATTTTTTACTTAAAAATTCTTTGAAAAAAATAAATATAAACCCATAACAATTATTTTGCAAAATATTTGAAAGTAGAACAATATTTCACATTGATAAAAATTAAATAAACAATTTCTTCATATCATAATGCCAAGATAAGTATTGTAAAATACAAAGGTTTCGACAGTTCCCAAGAAATAGAAAATCTTGTCGTATTTTATAATAAGCACGGCATGAAAAGTGCATGAAAACTATAAGGGGATCTACTCAGCGACGCATAGTGTTCAATAAAAAGATGTGAAAGGTGTTCTAAAAACAAATACGGCACATAATATTTTGATAAAAAATCATTACTTTTTACTATTAAGAAGAATAACGTCTTATTAAAACAACTTTATGGCTTCCTCTTATGTCAGACCTTAGGACAGCTTATTATGCCGGATTTGCGCTTCCAGTGTGCAACATCAAAGGCTGGATGACCTAACACGACGTAGGAGTTCAACCGTAAATACTAAAAGAAGGATCGTGCTTTACACCCAAATCGGTGTGTTCTAGGATACTGAAACCACAGAGCGTACGGTGTATCTGTACTTTGAGTAGACTGGCTGTTGACTCGTCAATTGTTCTTTACTTTAACTTTGATGACAATAGGTCTGTTTGTCATCAAAATCCCCAACCCAGATATTTCGGCCGAACTTTTTTATGTGTAGATCCTGCATAGGATTCTTAGGGGGTCGGGTAAACGAAGTTAAAATAGTAATAAATATAAACAACAGTCTTTATGGAATAAAACCGAAATATGTATATCTGAAGCAACTAAATGCAAATATTCTGCGCTTTGTCCTTGCAAATTTTCATATAACAAATATGCTTATGACGATACAAGGGATGATTTCAGGTTTAGTTTTAGAAAATTTTCATTTTCACGAACGGCAATCAAAAATCTTCACTCACTTTGACTTCAGTCATAAATTTCTTTTATACAATTTTTGCATTGAAAAATTTAATTGGTTTTTTATACTTTTTTGCAAGAATGATTTCACTTTTCTAACCATAAAAGTATACAATTAATTTGGAAACTAAAGATTTTTTTAGCTTTCGAAATGATATACTCGCATGTAGTACATTTTTTAAAAAAATACGTATACCACATATAATAAAAACAGTTAAAATTTTTTTTAAAATGTAATTATATAAATATAACTTCACAAGAAGGGCTTAAATGAATTTCCCTTTTAATAAAATATTGAAATTAAGCTATTAAAAATTAAATAAAAAAGTTGCAACCATAAGAAAGTAAAACTAATTTCTTTGAAGAGTATTCAAGGAGAATTTATATATGCAAATATACGTACACCATAATGTATGTATATGTATACGTAATTACTATTTTCTGACAACTGTAATGAAGTTTTGCCTTTTTGTTTTATAATTTAACCGTTTTTGCTTACATCTTCACGTCTACATGACAATAAATATATATATAAACATATACGTATATATGCACATATTGTATACGTTTTTATATCCAATAATGTAAAACATGAACAATAGAAAACCCTTCTTTTAGCTTTATAGCGCGACACAGATATATATAAATGTGTTATATATGTGTTTATATGTAATTTTTCAGCAATAATATAATAATGTGATTATTAAAAATACTTTCACTTATCAAGGTTTGCGTTTATTTTGGTCTTAATAGATGTAAGTATTTTTTTACTATGCACAATTACGAGCATTAAAACTGCATATATATATATACGAGTATACGTACATACCTATAAACATACAGACATGGATATACTATAACTTCACACCCATAAAGTCGTTCATATTGTGGCCACAAAAAAGGTAAAACGTAGCAAGCATCAGGTAGCGATAACCCCCTAAGGAAGTCAAACAAAACAAAAAAACTAAAAATATATATATATACGTGTGTTCGTTCGTTTTCCCTTGGAAACTAATATGACTGAATTTATAACTCAATCTAAAACAAAAGGCAAAAAAAAAAAAAATAAAAAAAATAAACTCAAAATTATAAAAATAAAACGAGAATTGCTTCGTGCAACAAATGCATTCACATATGCACGTATGCACACACTCAATCATACACACCAATCATTGAGTTGTAGCCGCAGATGCAGTCGCACACGTGTAAGTAAGGGTGACGTGCACGACTAAATAGTTTCCAGCTGAGCTGCCATTAATCTTAGCTAGCGTTAGCGATGCTTGAGTTGTATGTAACACGCGTGTTAGCGAGCAGGTGTTTGCACCTGTACGGGTGGCGGGGAAAAGTAATGAAAGAACCGAGTGTGTGAGAAAAAACTCTATGCAAGGGAAACTCTTGGCGCCCTCAAATAAGGTACCTCCGTCGTTCTTCCTGTGAAATTGTCTCTCTAAGTTTCTTATACAAGCTGAGAAATTTGTGTTTTTTTGCCGCTTTCTTTTCTCCTTACGTGGCTCTTTGGGGTTAAAGTGATAGCTGAAATATGATTAAATGAAATCCAAAAACACACGCTCAAGGTATGTGTCCGTCCGTCAGAAGTTCATGAGGGAAACGTGCAACTGTGGCGGCAATCATATGCTGCGTTCTAGTTGAATTTGAATATGTCTTGGTTGTAAGGAAAGTTTTGTAAGATTTGTGAAGTTTAACTATTTCTACTTCTGCATAGATTTTTATATCTTGACAGAAAAATATGAATAATGTTGCTGCGTTTAATTAGCGTCAGAAGAATGAAAGCTGGGAAATATTTTATAAGATTTTTAAAGACATTTTTCAAGTGAAGTTTGTAGGTATTAACAGATGTGGAAATTTATGAAGATTTAGGAAACTTTATAAGCTTTAAAAGCTTTACCTTTATCATTTATATTTTTCTTTTATCAGAAGAGAGTTAATAAGACCAAATCACGTTTATTTATGCTTATAAAAGGAATTTTATTTCTTTATCTGTAAATATTATAATTTTGTTTTTAACATTTACTCACCTTAAATATTTTGATTCACTGGTTCCAATATTTTCACTGAATTTTTTTATAACCACGAGCACTCTGTGTACGAGTATTATCAAATTAAACACTAATTCCACTTTGAAGGGGATTTAATTTCTTCTTATTAGATGTACGTACGAGTATGTATGTATATTTTTTGTTGTTGTGTAGATGATTTCAAATACTTATTAATTTTTATTTGGAAATTTACATCGCATAAGTAAACAAAGTAAATGTGTTGATTTGTATGGTGTATCTCTGGATGCAATCTTCTGTTTGTGTGTTGTAGAATTATGAATTAGCTATTTGACCCCAAGCATTGAAGTCTGTAAAAAAAGAAAAGAACAGAGAAGATATTTTAGTGATAAGTGTACATTAGAAGGCAAATTGAATAATTATGGTATACAAATTCATTTACATATTACAAGGAAAATATATATAAAATAATTTAAATTTATTATTATATATTATAATGTACTTTGTTCATTATGTATATTCCATATATGATAAGATTTAGTGTTGCTTTCTTGGAAACATAAAAAAAACATTTATATTGTTTTATTATTTTATATAAATTACTATTATACTTTATTTTATTCTTTTCTACTTTTTAATCTCATTCAAATTTTTTATTTTGTTTGATTCATTTTTTATTTTATTTTCATTTAAATTTGCTTTTCATTTTATTTGTTTTCGATTTGTATTTATTTTTCATTTTAATTTTTTACTTTAATATTTTTAAATTTTCCTTTTTATTTATTTGATATTTGTTTTCTTATTTTTATTCTCTATTTACTTATTTAAATTTTTTTATTTTCTATTTGTATTAAATTTTCCTTTTTATTCTACATTTTTAATTTATTTCTCTTTACATAGTCTATATTTTTATCGTTTGTTTAATTTAGATTCAATTATATAGCGGCTTATACAGCCTAGTGATTAGCCGTTTTTAGGGCCTGTGTTTAAGTCCTAGTTTGACCAAAAAATTTATTTAAATGCGGTCTCCCCGAGGCAATTGCTGAAGATCGCTTTAGCGGTTCCAAACCAGTACCTGAATTTATTTTTTTTTTGTTTTATTTCAATTATTTTATATCCTTTTTGGGTAACATATCACATACCGGTTGTTTACAACAAGATATTTTTAGCAATTGCTAAATTATTTTAGAAATTATTTACAGATATTTACAATTCAATATTCAAAAAACGAGCGAACAATTGATGTTGTTAAAAATAAAACTTTTCACTTAGTTGGAGCTCTTCCAACATCTTCAGCAGTGTTTTGGGAACGACTCCTGTCGAAGAAATAATAATCGGTACAACTATAAATTTGTCTAAGTGCCACATCTGCTTTACTTCTACTGCCAGCTGCTGATACTTCCTGCTCTTCTCGCCATAGCTTTCTTGAAGATCATGTGAATTAGGTATGCCGACATCTTTGTCTTTTTCTCGACAAGAATAATATTTGGTCTGTTATGCTGGACACTCCTATCTGTCAGAATCGTGCGGTCCCAGTATATTTTACATTCTTGGTTCTCTAGGACTGCAGCAGGAGTAGTAGGGCTTCTCTTCTCTGATTAGTTTAGTACGTATAGCAAGACTCTGACGGATAATTTTTGTTGGCTCTTTCTACATCTGTCGTTGGCGATTTGATTGCGAGTAATATATTTTAAATTATTTTAATTTATTTATGTTGTTTTATTTTATTTTAATCTCTTTTATTTTAATTTAATTTTAGTTTTATTTTCTTTAAGTTCATTTTTTTAATTTTATTTCTTTCTTTGATTTTAATTTGGTTTATTTATTTTGTTTTATTTTGTTTTATTTTACTTTATTTTATTTTATTTTTCTTTATTTTATTTAATTTTTTTTATTTTATTTTATTTTATTTTATTTTATTATATGTTATTTTATTTTATTTTATTTTGTTTTGTTTTATTTTATTTAGTTCTATTTTATTTAATTTTTAATTTTATTTTTTATTTGTAACTATATAATTACATTGAAAAAATTTTTCAAATCGATGTTTTGTTATGATTAGTTTAGCTTAAATTCTAAAAGAATACTTGGTAATAATATTGTAATTACACATAACGGGTATTTCCAATGACTCTCGAAATCTCTGAAAATTAAAACTTTGTTAAATAATTGTGATTGTAATGTGTTTGGTGTTGTAATGAGAATTTTTTACATTTTACCGATTATTGTCACATCACGTTAATGGTTATCTATATAGAAACATGCAAATATATTTGCAAATTTACATATGTTAGTATACAAGTATATTTGTAATAAGGGAACAGGTAAACTAAAAACCGGTTTCGTGCGATACAAACTCAGCTAGTGATAACAACGAATGAAAATAAGCGTTAAATTGGCAACGGCAAAGCTAAAAACCCGCAATAAATTTATGGGTATTTTTAATATTACGGAAAAAGTATTTGGGATAATATGACGGTATAAAATCTGTGCAAACTCATTTGTTTCTACAAAAATTCATTACAAATTTTTAAATAAAAAAAATTAAAATTGTATGAAAATACATTTCTGTTACAATCTTTCGTATTTACAATTTCATTAAATTTATTTTGATAATTTTTGTTTTAACGAAATTCCTATAAAAATAAATTTTTTGAGAACGGAAAATTGAAACAAGTACTTTCAAGCCTCATTGGTTTGACAAGTGTAACCGCAGCTTAAAGCTTTGTAATGGCAAAAACATGCAATAATAAAAGCGTTTGTGGTACAAAAGCAAAGAGATAATCAAACATACATACTTTGTTTTGGTACGATAGTGGGCAGTGAAAAAGAGTAGCAGTTGCAGCGGAAAAAAATGGTAACAATAATAAATATGTAAATCGCAGCTAAATGCCGCTTCAGTGCGTAAGTAGATCAACTTTTATACACAAACAGACAAAAAAATACGTTTTTGTTTATACGAGTATGTCAGCCTGCAATACTACCCACGTCACATATCGACGTATTACATATGTATAAATGTTATGCAATTAAAATGTAATTAAGATTTTTCGCTGTTTTATAAATGTGTATAAGGGCAGCAGTTCACACACCAACCGAAAGAAAAGAAAAAGAAAAAACAGAAAACACCAATCAAATGGTGACATTTTGGTGCGTGAGTGGGTTTTCGGTCGCAATCCGTAGCGAAAATTGATACGCTTCGCTAGCGAATTTTACACAAAAATGGTCCCAAAGCCCTGACATGGGAAATAATGCCAGATGAAATGAGCACAATGCTCGAAAATATACACCCACCATAGCCAAAAAGACAAAGAAAAGGTTAACGCCGCTAAAAAAAGTAACGGTGTAAAAAATTCCATCGGCAACTTTGCCCAAAGCAACGGCAAGCGTAAAATAACAAAAGTTGTGAGAAAAATAAAAATCAAAAATTAAATAAATGTACATAAAAAATGTGTATACATGTATATACAAATAAAAAGTAAAAAAAAAAAATTATATATATATACATATATACACACAAAAAATCTCATGAGTTTGCGAACAAAAGATTTTTAAGCGCAGAACTGAAACTTTTTGATAAAAAAATAACAAAAAATATAAATCGCTTACACCGCGTATAACTGTTTGTTATTCGCAATACGTTTTAAACCGCTTTTCGCACATTTGTTGCTTCCTCGCTCAACGAAAAAAGAATTTAAAACATAAAATTGAAAAGATAAACAAACATACAATGTATTTTACTGTATAAAATACAAAAAAAATTTAAGTAAATATAAATGTTATTACCACGCTCAGCTAAGTAATTTCGCTATTGTATGCGAGCAAAAGTCAGAAACCGGGCCAAGTTGTCTACGGCTTAAAGCCAAGCGAAAACGGCCAGCTCATTTTTAAACACAAATACATGCGAGCATTCATAAATATACATATATATAAACATATGAATATTTATGTATATAAAATTCATTGTCAGACAGTCTTACATGCATTTCCCATTGGACATTCTTCGGAATTAAAAGAAAGAGGAAAAACAGTTAAAAATAATAAACCCTAAGTAACTTAAGGAGTTTTTTTTTTTGGAAATTTCGTACAGCTGAAGTGGGTAAAGCGAATTAATGTTGGCACATTTCGAGTTCATACTTGAGCGCTTAGCCTCGTTGCCATCCGCCAACAAAAGAGAAATGGTAAAATACAGTGCAATGAGAAATCACAAAAGCATTCATCCGCATTGTAAAGGTAAATGCAGACATCTACATACATATGAGCTACCTACCATATAGGTATACGTGTATGAGTGCGATTTTCCTCCGCTCTTGTAAAATGTTAAATTACTTCCGCAGTAAGTAATGTAGACAGTCGGAGGGCCAAGCCCAGCTCAACTTGGCACTCGAAACTAAACTCCGCTTAATTCAAGCGAAACAAGGAACTACATAGAGCGCGTGTAAATTTTAGGTTTTTATTTTTTTATGTGAGTACATATGTACCAGTTTGGGAGCTATGCTTTCCCCAGAGACACTGATAATTCTATTCCAAGCAAATGTTAACTTTTTTATATTATTTTTCCTGAATTTCATATTGATGAATTGTATTTTAGTTTTTTATCTTGTTTTATTTTAATTTATTTTACTTTGATTTATTTTGTTTTTTTGTTTGTTTTATATTATTTTGTATCATTTATTTTAATTTAGTTTAATTTAATTTTATTTCTTTTTATTTCATTTCATATTATTTTATTTTATTTCATTTGTTTTTATATATTTTTATTATTTATTGATTATTATATATTTATATTTGTTGAAGTATATGGCAACTCCATAATATGTACTAAAAATAAGTTCAGTTATCTATCTTTTTTAACAAACTGCTGTATATAAAATAGTTTTCATTAAACTATTCTTTCTTCTTGCTGGCTACTTGGATCTGTATACAATACCTGCTTCATCTTTATTTTTTTGAAGCCATAATTTCTATAAAATTTTTTTTAAATTTATTTTTTACCTTGTTTTATTTTATTGTAACTAATTTATTTTTTTCTTATTTTAATTATTTCAATATTTTAAATTTATTTTATTTTAGTTTTTTAACTTCGTTTTATTTTATTCTATTATTTTAATTTACTTTTTTTGTTTTATTTTCTTTTTTTTTGTGTTGTATTTTATTTTGTTGTATTTTATTTTAATTTATTTTACCTTACTTATTTTTTATTTATTTATTTTTTAATGTTTTTTTGATTTATTTTTTTTTATTTTAATTCGTTTTATTTTTTTACATTTTTTTATTTCATTTAATTTTATATTATTTTGTTTCATTTTCTTTTCTTTTATTTTATTTCATTTTAGTTTATTTTAGTTTT